AAGGGGCGGGGGAGATGGCTCAGTGGAATAAGTGCTTCCCTGGCAAGCGCATGGACTAGAGTTCAATCCCCGGTTCCACCAAAAAAAAAAAAAAGATATACATGCACATACGAACTCCCCATCATGAAGGTACTGCAAATATGTACTAATAAATCTTTCTTTAAACAAAAGAGGTCAAAACAAGTGGAATCAAGGAAGGTCCAACAGAGACTCACTTTGCCAGCAGACTCTAGTGACAGTCCCTGTTGCAAGTAGGGCCCCTCAGGCCTGGGTCTTTGGCTGTTGTTTCCCTTTTCCCCATTGGCCAGCCAGGAAGCTGTATGAAATGAGAAGTCCACATGTCACTAAAACAACAGACCCACATGTTCCAGAGAATTCTCCCAATCTGGGGGGCTGGGGATATAGTTCAGTAGAATAAGTGCTTGCCTGGCAAGCACAATGGTATGAGTTCCCCAGTTCCACCAAAAAACATAAAAATAAAAAAATAGTTGAGTTCTCCTAATCTGCTTACACACTTACTATGTATGTAACAAATACTGTCCTGTGAAGCATATAGAAAATCAAAAGATGTAAAAGAAAATATCAAATGATAAAATCATGTACAACAGGGGCCGGCCTGATAGCTCAGCAGAGTAAAGTGTCTGCTTAGGCAGACACAGTGGCCAGAGTTCAATCCCCAGCGTGCAGTGCAGGCCCCACCCCCAGGTGCACACTGAGACAATGATTGAGACAGCAATTGAGACTGGGCATGGTGGTGCACACCTGTAACCCCAGCACTTGGGCAGCTGAACACAGGAGAATCACTAGGAGTCTGACCTATGTACTGAGACCCTGTAGACCCTGTCCTAAATACAGAAAGAAAAAAAATTCATTCAAATCATGTACAACAGGACAGTGTATTAGCTTTCCCCTCACTGGGGCAAAATACTGATGGGCCACAGTTTCAGGAGTAGAGGTTTATTTTTATTTAGTTTTGGTGTGTCAGTCCATGGTGTTATGGTTTACATACAGATGTCCCCTGAAAGCTTCATCTGCTCACTGTATGGGCTTCTGGGAGAAAACTGGATCATGGGGGCACAATACTCATCTGTAGGGATCTGTCAGTCTCTCAGTATGATCTGTTGTACCCCAGGGAGAAAGGCGGGAGGTATGAGGACAAGACGGACAAGAAAACAAGAGCTGGGTCAGGTGAGGGCCACTCTGCCTGGTTGGTGAGACAACCCCCAGAACAACAGTATGGGCCTTTATTTATGCTTTTACAAAATTGTAAGATACAAGGTTGCCTAGTGACTAATGGCCCACAATGTCCAGGCAGAATGTTTTCCTCAAGACTGAGGTAGCTTGACTACTTTAGGAAATGAGACCTCATCCTGCACTCCCACATAGGATCAATTTCACCTTCAGTGGCTCCCAACACTCATCAGTGATACTACATAGTTGAGAATGGCCTTGAATTCTTGGGAGATCCTCCTGCATCAGCCTCCTGAGCACAAGGATCACAGACATGACCCACCATGCCCTTGGGGACATTTTAAATCACAATCATATAATAGATGGTAAATTGGAAGAATGTGGAGCAGGGGCTGGGGAGATAGCTCAGCAGCCTAAGTGCCTGCCTTGCAAGCATAAGACCAGAGTTCGGGGGCTGGGGAGATGGCTCAGTGTAATAAGTGCTTCCCTGGCAAGCGCATGGGCCTGAGTTCAATCCCTGGTTCCACAAAACAAACAAACAAACAAACAAAAAACATAGGGCCAGGGAGATGGCTCAGTGGAGTAAGAGCCTCTCTGGCAGGGACAAGGGCCTGAGTTCAATCCCCGGTTCCACCAAAATGAAACAATAAAAACAAACAAAAAAACCCACATAAAACCAGAGTTCAATCCCTGATATCATATGCCATGTCAGCCCCAGAACCCCAAGCATGCCATGCTGGCTCGAAAACCAGCATGGTGGCTCATGCTTATAATCCCAGAGCTGGGGAGGCTGAGACAGGAAGATTGCTATGCGTCTGAACTGCATAGTGAGATCCTGTAACAAATAAAAATAAAAATAAAAATAGAAAAAAACATAAGACTTGTTTATTAAAAAAAAAAAAGATTATGGAGGAGCTACATTGTACACAGCAGTAGATTTTCATGCTGAAGCCTCCCCTGCGTGACACCATCTGTGAAGCAGCAGTTGGCTCCATTCTGAGCACAGGTGTGAAGGCAGAACAATGCGGTAGCTCATATGAGCAGGTAGATAATCACTAGATGGTGTATCACCAAGCATATCAAAAAGAATAACCCCATATTCAAAGTGGTTGGGATAGATATATCGTTACATTCTGTTAATGAATAGAATGATTTGTTCTAATGGTGTTTGTAAATAGGATCACAAGTCCGCATCTTGTACAGCAATTAACCACTAAGAAGAATATATGCAGTGTATTATTTGTTGAAAAATAAAAATAAAAATAAAAATAAAAAGAATAGCCCCAATTTCAGTACACAGCCTTAAGGTGCAAACTGACAATTGATCATACCTGAAGCCAGGTGTGGTGGTGCATTCCTGTACCTCAGCACTGAGAAGCTAAGGCAGGGGGGCTGGGGAGATAGCTCAGTAGAATAAGTGTTTGCCTGGCAAGTGCAAGGGCCTAAATTCAATCCCTGGTTCCACCAAAGAAAAAAAAAAAAAAAAAAAAAGCTAAGGCAGGAAAATCCTCTGAGTCACACCTGGCCCCAGGATGGCTATTATGTAGACTACAGAGTGAGAACTCTGCTCTAGTCCCTCCAAATTTTTGTTTGTTTGTTTTGCTGAACCTGGGATTGAATTCAGGTACTTGCCAGGGAAGCACTTACTCTACTGAGCCATCTCCCCAGCCCCAAGTCCCTCCAAATTCACAATCTGAAATGAGGGTCTGGAAGTGTAGATCGGGAATAGACCATGAGGACAGCAAAAAAGGAAATGAACTTGGCATGGTA